TGACTGACTGACTGACTGGTTGGCTGACTGACTGACTGATTGGCTGACTGACTGACTGGTTGGCTGACTGACTGGCTGGCTGACTGACTGACTGATTGGATGACTGACTGACTGGTTGGCTGACTGACTGGTTGGCTGGCTGACTGACTGGTTGGCTGACTGACTGACTGATTGGCTGACTGACTGACTGGTTGGCTGACTGACTGACTGGCAAGGAAATAAAGTGGATGTTCCATATTATTACAACATACAGTGCATGTCTGTCATTGAGGTGTGGTGCATATTCTTGTCCCATTCCTTTGCATTTTTTTGATAAAACCCAAAATGTTTAGAAAGGAAAGGGGAAAAGCCTAAACCTAAAGGCACAGGGATGTGATTTTGGGAAAAACCCAAAAAAACGCTATATTATATTAGGCAGGATGAAACACAAAACTCCTAACATGTTTTTAATAAAAAAACCCCAAAAAAGAGAAATAGAAAAATCCCACCCCTCAAAATTTTAAAAGTCAGAAAAGGATAAAAAAACGGGGAGAGCATGGTATAAGTTTTTTTTACTATAGCTAGGATCCATACACGAAAAAAAAGAGTGGGTCCTTTGTTGAGGGGGTTTGGAGGAAGAAGGGGGGGAAAAACTGGTACTGAGACAGGGAGGGGGAGCCCCCTTGTTCCGGGGCCTTTTTTTTTTTAAAAAAAATTTTTTTGCCCCTTTTTTTCTTCCCTTGTTTTTTCTACTAGTCTTCTTATCTTGTCTCTCCTCTCTCTCTCTCTATATCTCTATATCTCCTCTATCTGTCTCTCGTCTATCTCTCTATCTCTCTCTATATCTTCTCTCTCTATCTATCTCTCTCTCTCTATCTATCTCTTCTCTCTCTCTCTCTCTCTCTCTCTTCTCTCTAACAGGTTGTCTATAGTCTCACACTGCCAGCCTTGACTAGGCATCTGAGGGCACAGACTACTCCCTCTACAAACACACGTCCACACACACACACACACACACACACACACACAATACACACACACACACACATACACACACACACACACATACACACACCACACATACACACACCACATACACACACATAGCAGCGGCAGTAGTAGATGCCAGGGCACAGTGAGGGATTGGAAGTGGATTTTATTTTGTATTTTCTTGTTGTACTTCTCAGTTTTTCACAGTGGAATAAACCTTGCCTAATGGCCTGGGCCAACTGGAATGTTCCGACAGTCTCTAAAAACTTCAGCTGAGTGTTTTATTGAACTCTACTTTACTCTACGGGTGTTTCTCAATACGCATACTACCGTGCTCCGAGCACGCAAATCGGAGCATGGGAGGGTCGGAGCACGAGTCCAAATCAAAGTAGGCTATGCGAAACGGAGCCCTTTTCGGATGCACATCCTGTTTGTACATATTTGGAAGCATGCATCGATGCAAGATTCAACAGAAGGTACGACAAGAAATATGACGCGACTGTAAAAAAAAAAGGGCAACATTTCTTGAAAACATTGGCGGCCATTATTTGAGCTGAAGCGAGAGAAAATACATTCAGACTTCGGGAATGAATGTCGCCCATTCACATCTCATATGTTGCCTGACTACAATATTATATCTTGATACCTGTTCATTTTGGCATGTTTACCTGCCTACAACACCCACTGTAGTGTGCGTATATCACCTGCTAATCGAAGCCCATGCAAAGTCAATAGGGCTAACTGGCTAGCTATATAATAATAATTGATACCTACTGTAGCTAACTACGAAGAATTGACAGCTAGCCATCTACCTTGCATAACATGAACTTTAGGTCGTTTTTTTGCCTGTTCAACTAGCAGGCTAGCTAGATTAATACGATACACATATAGATAGCATATAATTATGAAGTAAAACGTTATGTATATTTTTATTTTGTCTCTCTATTCCCTGGAAGCAGGATCAGTGAATGTGAGGTCATACAGTAGTCATGATCGATGATCGATGCGTTCTCCACATTTGTCCTCAAGACACGCACTAGGAGCACGAGAGTGTGGCACATATTCAGAAACACCCTGTCTCCTTTTTAACATGGGAATGTATCAATGATACCGTATTACTGCGAGATTCTTTATGGCAAGTTCTAAAATCAGATCTGCAAACTTTCCTAACTTCACTGACGTGTCTTCAAATACGCAAAACATAGCATTCTACAGAGAAATACCATTTCAAGGATTCTTGAAAGACGGGACAATCTATACTTTTCGAATAAATATATTTTTCTTAATATTAACAACATTTCAAATATATATTTTGACCAGAGTATCAGCTGTCCCACCATGTAAAGGAACAACCTAATAATTCTTCAATTTTTTTCATAAAATGCAACTAACTGGATTTATGTCAACGCCGCCAGACACCATAAAAGGCTTTTTATTTGTACATTTATTGTTCAACAAGTGTTTAAAGGCCTTGATTGTTAATTTCTAATATTAGATTATTCAAATATGTGATACAAATCTCCAAACTTCTTTCAGTTTTTATTTTTATAGATATACACTAAGTGCCTTTGAACGGTGTACGGTAGTAGGTGCCAGGTGCACCGGTTTCTGTCAAGAACTGCAACGCTGTTGGGTGTATCAAGAATGGTCCACCACCCAAAGGACATCCATCCAACTTGACACAACTGTGGGAAGCATTGGAGTCAACACCTTGTAGAGTCCATGCCTTCGACAAATTGAGGCTGTTCTGTTCTGCAACTCAATATTAGGAAGGTGTTAATGTTTTGGACGGTGTATAATGGTCCAGGGCTAATTTCGTTAGCATTTTGCATTTTTTTTTTCTAAATTCAGAACATAAAGCAACATTTATAAAGCAAACATTACCCCTTAGATCGCTTTTTAATTTTTGGGGGTGCAATTTCGAAATTTGGTTGTACATCAGCAGTTTTTCTCTTGTTATGTCCGTCACTGACAGTCACTCAATTAGCCATGTCAGTCACTGACAGTCACTCAATTAGCCATGTCAGCTAAAATGTTTTAGATTGTTAAGTTTTAGATTGGTAAGTTAGTCTAGCGGCTATGTCACGACTTCCTCCGAAGCTGCCTCCTCTCCTTGTTCGGGCAGGCTTCGGCGTTCGTCATCACCGGCCTTCTAGCCACTGCCGCTCCTCATCTCACCATTCCATTTGTTTTGTCTTGTTTATTACACACACCTGGTTCATATCCCCTCATCAGTCCCTGTATAAGTGTTCCCTCTGCCCCCTTGTCTTTGTGTGTGATTGTTTATTGTGGAGGATAGTGAAGCTCGGTGGAGCTCCGTGTATTTTGTATCGGCGGGATATTTCCCCGTGTGCCTTGTATTTTCCAGTGCCCCTGTTTTTGCCCACTGAAGTGTTTTTGACGCATTACTGCGTAACTCTGTATTGGTGGAATAAAGCCTGTTCTTCTGTGATTTACCCTCCTGCGCCTGACTCCTTCGACATCACCTCATCACAGGCCAGCTATCTAAAACTCTCGCGCAACTGCAGCCCCTCATGATGAGCTCAGATTTCACCCCTATCCTTAGATCTAGCACAGCAAATACTGTTGAAGCATGTTGCAGAACAGTGATTAAAATATTTTTTTCTGAATATTGACAAAACAATCGATCTTTATGGGGTTAGCCATCAGTGACAGAGTTGACAAACCCCTGACGGAGTTGATGACAAATAATTAAAAACAGACATATTTTTGCCTCTAAAAATGAACATTTATAAAATATGGAAAATGATTCATTTGAAAATCCCCAATAAAAACATAACCATTCTATCAGCTATTTCAGCAGTGTGACGGAGTTGACGTTAGACAGACATCTGACGGAGTTGATGTTATACCGAGTCGACAAATATAGCATTTTTCTTCTTCGTTCAAGTGGTATGTATCCACAGTAGCAATTTAGTTTTTCCTCAGTTGCTTTATGATTCTTAAACCTAATTAAAATAAACATATTTGAACCAAAATTCATATTATATCTTTATCTATCAGGCAGATGGAGTTGACAGTTTATGGTTGTGACCGTGGTGATTTCAATATTTTTTGTTTAAATCTATCAACAGTAGAGAACGTTCCAGACCATGAATGGCCTTGTTGCACTACATCTAATGAGGACATGAATAAAGGGTCCTTATGGTACAGCTGACCCTGCTCATGCCTGATTCATTTAGGATTTTAGACCAATCTGACGGAGTTGACCAAAACTCCAGACACATCTTTTAGAAATCACAGTTTTGAGAGAAATATTATTTAAAGTCACAGAGGGATATATCTATTGCAAGAAACTACATAAGATCCTTTTTCAGTTAATATCCATTATTGCCCGTTTTTAGAATTTTAAACACTTTCTTGGAGAGTTTGAAATTGGGATACTTTGCTCAGGACAATGGCATTTCCAGGCATAGAGCCAAAATGAAAATGAATAATATCATAAATATTTAGAAAATTCCCAAAACACATTTTCCCCCTTATATAATTCCCATAAATGTAATTTTTTAAGCTCAAATTATGCAACAACAACAAACAAGTTTCCCCGCCGGACTTTCCCGACTTTCAAGAATCCCTGATTTACAAGTCCTTTTGAAACAACAGTACCTACCTAGCAGTCATTGTAAAGCAAAGACCTCCAAGTGTATCTAGAACATAAAGCTGTGTGCATCTGAATAGAAGCCTGCAGACCAATTACAGAAACCAGTCTAAAGCTTAAGTTATACCCTACGCAGGACCCAAAGCAAGAACTACAATTAGCTAGGCAAAATGCTGATCCTGCATCGCTGCGCAGCAAAAAAAAGACAGACCCGCAAGTTGTAACTCGACGCAGACGACGCAGGATCGTCATTTTGCGTTACGTGCTGCATAGGGTATAAATTAGGTTTAACTGCAGTGCCACATCATCTGGTCACATACAGGATGTTAATGGATTATATTGAAGCGGTCTACAGCGGTTTAAGGTGGTGCTAAGGTTAGTGAAAGCATATTAGTGTGCCTTACTGAACAAATTAGTCCCTTGCCTTGTCCCTTGGTTGATGCTGCTCACAGAACCACCTGCAGGAGGAAAGGGAAGTGAAGTGAAGTGAAGAGAGGAGAGGAGAGGAGAGGAGAGGAGAGGAGAGGAGAGGAGAGGAGAGGAGGAGGAGAGGAGAGAGAGGAGAGGAGAGGAGAGGAGAGGAGAGGAGAGGAGAGGAGAGGAGAGGAGAGGAGGAGGAGGGGAGGGGGAGGGGGAGGGGAGGGGAGGAGAGGGGAGGGAGGGGAGGAGAGGAGAGGAGAGGAGAGGAGAGGAGAGGAGAGGAGAGGAGAGGAGAGGAGAGGAGAGGAGAGGAGAGGAGAGGAGAGGAGAGGAGAGGAGAGGAGGAAACACACAACAGAGGTCAGACTGGGATGTCTATGTCACAAAATGGCTGTTATTCAGTCAGCATCACTATGACATGGTGATAAGAGCTTACAAAAGGGGTTATACAAGTCTTATAATGCATTATGCCAGGTCATTTCACTGCTTTTAACACAACCGATCCTAATGATCATCATGTCTGGTTGTCCAGACAGGACAGGACCTGGTCTGGACTAGAAGGGTAGCGTCTGTCCTCGCCTAGCTGCTAGCTAGCTAACCGCAATTACTGGTGCATTGCAACATTTCTGAACAGTTAGCAACATAGTTCAGAGACATTTAGTTCCTGCTGAGGATATAAATGAAAGATGGCTCCATAATGAAGATGTACGATGATCTATTGAACATTCAAAATACCTGAGAAGAACACTTTGTACCAAAAGCTGATGTCTCACTTTGAAATGACTAGGCAGCATTTCACTGAATCCAGACTGATCACTAAAGGTCATGTTTTCTGGAGTATGTAAATAACTTTCCCTCTCAGCTAGCCTTCCTCCTGCTCCTCCTCACCCCATTGTCTTCCATTTTAACAAATCTATCAGACCAGAGCCAGTCCTCTCACCCTCCGTACTGACACCCAGATAGCCATTCAGTTCTTCCCTTTCCCCTCCTCCTCCTCCTCCTCTCCTCCTCCCTCTCCTCCTCCTCCTCCTCCTCCTCCTCCTCCTCTCCTCCTCCCTCTCCTCCTCCTCCTCCTCCTCCTGACTCATCCTCCTTCTCCTCCTTCTCCTCCTCCTCCTGACTCATCCTCTTTCTCCTCCTTCTCCTCCTCCTCCTCCTCCTCCTCCTCCTCCTCCTCCTCATCATCCCACTCCCTCCTTCTCCTCCTCCTCCTGACTCACCCTCCTTCTCCTCCCTCTTCTCCTCCTCCTCCTCCTCCTCCTCCTCCTCATCATCCTCCTCCTCCTGACTCACCCTCCTTGCTGACCCCCAGACAGCCCTTCAGCTCCAGAAGTGAGATGGCTTTGTCCTTGTTCAAGTCACAGTAGTCAGTGAACTTCCTGGCACATTTCTTGGGTTTAGCTTTCTTCTTGACGTATCTCTTGAAGGGCTTTAGCTCCTTCTTGTTGATGTCATGGCTGCTGTTGTTGTCCAGCTGGGCAAAGTACCAGTGGACCACCCTCTCCTCTAGAGTGTGGCTGGGGTCCGGCTCCATCAACCTGCACAGGTTCACAGGGTTCAGACACAGGTCCACACACTGAGGGGTGAGACTCAAACATGCACAGGTACACCCAGTACTCACACACAGGTACACACACTCAGAACCTGCTCAGGTACACACAGGTACAGACTCAGAACCTGTTCAGGTACACACTCAGAACCTGTTCAGGTACACACTCAGAACCTGTTCAGGTACACACAGATACACACTCAGGGCTTCAGATCTAACTCCCCATCCAAACCTAATGATAGAGATTTCAACATCATAGTTGATTGTTTAAGCATGTTGTTACTACTTACCTCCCGCCACCAGGGGGGGTTGGTGAGTTTATGGCCTGGACCATGTCTGTGGTGAGGGCATCTAAAAGGCTGGTAATGAATTCCACCTTCTTCCCCTCCGGACAGCCTGGCACAGCAACACAGAGACAGCACAGTCACTCTTCAACAATACACAGAGACAGCACAGTCACTCTTCAACATTAACACAGAGACAGCACAGTCACTCTTCAACAATACACAGAGACAGCACAGTCACTCTTCAACATTACACAGAGACAGCACAGTCACTCTTCAACATTAACACAGAGACAGCACAGTCACTCTTCATTACCACTGTCTCACAGCAACACAGAGACAGCACAGTCACTTACCCTCCGGACAGCCTGACACAGCAACACAGAGACAGCACAGTCACTCTTCAACAATACACAGAGACAGCACAGTCACTCTTCAACAATCATTACCAATGGCTCACAGCAACACAGAGACAGCACAGTCACTCTTCAACAATCATTACAACTGTCTCACATTAACACAGAGACAGCACAGTCACTCTTCAACAATCATTACCATTGTCTCACATTAACACAGAGACAGCACAGTCACTCTTCAACAATCATTACAACTGTCTCACATTAACACAGAGACAGCACAGTCACTCTTCAACAATCATTACCATTGTCTCACATTAACACAGAGACAGCACAGTCACTCTTCAACAATCATTACAACTGTCTCACATTAACACAGAGACAGCACAGTCACTCTTCAACAATCATTACAACTGTCTCATATTAACACAGAGACAGCACAGTCACTCTTCAACAATCATTACAACTGTCTCACATTAACACAGAGACAGCACAGTCACTCTTCAACAATCATTACCATTGTCTCACATTAACACAGAGACAGCACAGTCACTCTTCAACAATCATTACCACTGTCTCACATTAACACAGAGACAGCACAGTCACTCTTCAACAATCATTACCATTGTCTCACATTAACACAGAGACAGCACAGTCACTCTTCAACAATCATTACCACTGTCTCACATTAACACAGAAGCAGCACAGTCACTCTTCAACAATCATTACCAGCTGATGGCTGAGCCCAGTGTTAAGTATCTCTGGTAAACAGCAGAACTACAGCTGATGGCTGAGCCCAGTGTTAAGTATATCTGGTAAACAGTAGAACTACAGCTGATGGCTGAGCCCAGTGTTAAGTATCTCTGGTAAACAGTAGAACTACCGCTGATGGCTGAGCCCAGTGTTAAGTATCTCTGGTAAACAGCAGAACTACAGCTGATGGCTGAGTCCAGTGTTAAGTATCTCTGGTAAACAGCAGAACTACAGCTGATGGCTGAGCCCAGTGTTAAGTATCTCTGGTAAACAGTAGAACTACCGCTGATGGCTGAGCCCAGTGTTAAGTATCTCTGGTAAACAGCAGAACTACAGCTGATGGCTGAGTCCAGTGTTAAGTACCTCTGGTAAACAGCAGAACTACAGCTGATGGCTGAGCCCAGTGTTAAGTATCTCTGGTAAACAGCAGAACTACAGCTGATGGCTGAGCCCAGTGTTAAGTATCTCTGGTAAACAGCAGAACTACAGCTGATGGCTGAGTCCAGTGTTAAGTACCTCTGGTAAACAGCAGAATTACAGCTGATGGCTGAGCCCAGTGTTAAGTACCTCTGGTAAACAGCAGAACTACAGCTGATGGCTGAGCCCAGTGTTAAGTACCTCTGGTAAACAGTAGAACTACAGCTGATGGCTGAGTCCAGTGTTAAGTACCTCTGGTAAACAGCAGAACTACAGCTGATGGCTGAGCCCAGTGTTAAGTACCTCTGGTAAACAGCAGAACTACAGCTGATGGCTGAGCCCAGTGTTAAGTACCTCTGGTAAACAGTAGAACTACAGCTGATGGCTGAGTCCAGTGTTAAGTACCTCTGGTAAACAGCAGAACTACAGCTGATGGCTGAGCCCAGTGTTAAGTACCTCTGGTAAACAGCAGAACTACAGCTGATGGCTGAGCCCAGTGTTAAGTACCTCTGGTAAACAGCAGAACTACAGCTGATGGCTGAGCCCAGTGTTAAGTACCTCTGGTAAACAGCAGAACTAAAGTTATACCTTCAGGTGCTGGTGATGGAGAATGGAGAAAACACTGTCTTTAACTCTGTGAGTGTGTGTGTGTGTGTGTGTGTGTGTGTCTTCGTGCATGCGTGTGCGTGTGTTATATTGGGCTGTTGCAACGTGAGAGAGGGTGAGAGTAAAGAAATGTTGCTTTCAATATGATCTGATGTTTTGGTAATCTAGACAAAGTAAGAACAGGCTAATTAGCAGGACCATCGGTATGAACTGAACTGACCTTTCACCTGTATCAGACGTGAGTCATATGTGAGGAGCAATCTGAGAGACTCCCAGCATGCCTTGTTTGATGAATTTATGATGCTTCCCTCAGAGCGTAGATAGGTTTAAAACCAGCAGGTCTATACTGTCCTTCATGCCAGCAGCTATCAGCTGTCTCAGTAATCTCTAGTAGCACATAGCTGTATATATTATTGGGGTGTATATTTATTGTCATGTGATCATGTGTTTTTACTAAGTGCTGCTAAATGAATTGGCCCCCTGGGGATAATAAAGACTCTACTCTACAGGTGCATTAGACATGTGTGTCCTAAATGGTACCTTATTCTCTAGACTGGAGTCTACAGTAGTGCACTACATAGGGAGCCATTTGGGACGAAGCCATAGATGAGAGGCAGGCAGCCGTGTGTATGTGATGACAAAAGGACTTAGCTGGGCAGTGCAGACCTGTTAACTTTTATGATGGCGTGCTGAACACCTTGGGTAGCTCTCGTTAATTGCCCAGATGCATGGTTTTAATAGCACACTGGACTAGGCCAATGTTTTACCCCCTAATTCTGTCTCATAAAGAGAAACTTCAAACACTCTCTCTCTCTCTCTCTCTCTCTCTCTCTCTCTCTCTCTCTCTCTCTCTCTCTCTCTCTCTCTCTCTCTCTCTCTCTCTCTCTCTCTCTCTCCCTCCTGCAGCGAGAGTGTTGTGTCATTCTGTTGTTCGGTGGGAGGTGGTCTCCTTTAACCCTAACCCGCCAGGTGAATCTAATTACCATGTCCTGGATCGGACAAGTCAGGCTCTGGGACACACTGCCTCACTGCTTATGAACCCGACTGTTAAATTGGGCCGTTATGAAGTGCGACCCCGTATGTTGAACAGCACCCTGTGTGGTGGAGAGGGAGGGAACACTGGGGCTGCATCCCTAATGGCAGTGCACTATTTTTTGACCAGGGCCCATAGGGAATAAGGTGCAGTTTTGTGACACAGAAAGTGTGTATTATGAAGGAACCCTGAAGGTCTCTAAGAAATCCTTATTCCTAATATGTCTGTTTCTGGTCAGAGGTTGTGGTGTGGTAGTCTGGTTCAGGGTAACATCAGATCTACAGGCCGTTAACTCCCCTTGTTCTTCATGTGACTAATGACGTTTAGACCGGAAAGGATTCAATCGAAGGCGTGATACAGAGCAGCACCCCTGCACTGCAGACAATGTGCCTTTTAAAGGTAATCGAAGCTTGAGCCAACATCTGCAGCATTTTCCATGAATGCCATCTCCGTGAACGTCATTGATGTGACTGTCCAGTGCAGTGCTTTATAACGCGCACTGGCATTGATGTGACACAGTGGTGTTGTTTGTTGTGGCGGCTCGCTGTGAAGGTCCCCATCCCACTATAGTAATTTAATATAACTCCACCCAGCCACTCAGTCAGCCCCCCACAGTCCCCAACACACCTAGCTCCCCCTGCAGCCTACACCCCCCCCCCCCCCCCTCCCCCCCTTCCCCCCCTTCCCGCTCCCAAACACTTATAACGTCCATAAAACAAACCACACATCTGCGGCACAGTCAGAAGCCTTGCTCCACTCTGTAAAGTCTCCAGATGCCGGGAATTAAATTAGGGTTACAGTGCAACTTTAAAGGATGTGGGGAAACAGAGAGAGAGGGAACCCAAAAAAAAGTGAGAAAGCAGTAGAGCATTAACCAGGTAGCCTGGTCCCAGACCTGTTCCTGCTAACAGGTAGCCTGGTCCCAGACCCGTTCCTGCTAACAGGTAGCCTGGTCCCAGACCTGTTCCTGCTAACATTCCACTCAACATGTTTGCCATGACAAGGAGTAGCAAGGAGTGGAATGTTAGCAGGAACAGGTCTGGGACCAGGCAACCTGTTAGCAGGAACAGGTCTGGGACCAGAATACCTGTTAGCAGGAACAGGTCTGGGACCAGGCAAGTAGAGACAGTACAGTAACTATATGAACTAGGTTACGACCTTTAGTGGAGACTAGTGAGCCCCTGGCTTTAGTGGAGACTAGTGAGCCCTTGGCTTTAGTGGAGACTAGTGAGCCCCTGGCTTTATAGCGACTAGGACCCTTGGCTTAGTGGAGACTGTGAGCCTTGGTTTAGTAGAGGAATAGTGAGCCTTGGCTTTAGTTAAGAGACTAGTGAGCCAGTGGCTTAGTGGAGAATAGTTGCCCTTGGCTTTAGTGGAGACTAGTGAGCCCTGGCTTTAGTGGAGACTAGTGCCCTGCTTTAGTGGAGGATAGTGAGCCATTGGCTTTTAAGTGGAGGGGACTAGTGAGCCACTGGCTTAGTGGAGGACTAGTGAGCCCCTGGTCTTTAGTAGAGACTAGTAAGCCCTTGGTTTAGTGGCGATAGTGAAGCCTGGCTTAGGAGAGATAGTGAGCCCTGGATTTAGTAGCAGGAATAGTGAGCCCTGCTTTATGGAGAATAGTGAGCCCCTGGCTTTTAGTAGAGGCCTAGTGGCACTTGGCTTAGTGGAGACAGTGAGCCCCTGGCTTTAGTAGAGATGAGTGAGCCCCTGTTTAGTGGAGACTAGTGAGCCCTTGGCTTTAGTAGAGACTAGTGAGCCTTGGCTTTAGTAGAGACTAGTGAGCCCTTGGCTTTAGTGGAGACTAGTGAGCCCCTGGCTTTAGTAGAGACTAGTGAGCCCTTGGCTTTAGTGGAGACTAGTGAGCCTTGGCTTTAGTAGAGACTAG